GAAGGAAGAATATCATCAGTTGGCGCCGTCTGTGGGAACTCTATTCCGGAAAGACAATTGTGTTCATTGTCACCGAAAGGAACCCCGCAATCATCTACCCCTTGCATCAGAGTGGATGGTCACGACTAGATCCATGGCTTCCCAACACAACGCTGGTAACCCCGAAGCTGAACCAACCCAAATAACCTGCCTCCATATTTTGCAGAACTCACCAACAGCATCAGCCGACTGACCGAACAGAACCAAGCCCTGATCAATACCTTACTCCAGCGTGACCTGTCTATCCCGCCTCCACCATAGCCAATAGTTCCCCCGCACCCAGAACAAGCCCACCATCACCATCAATTCCCACCACACGTGCCTCAAGGAACATTTCCACCATTCACCCCGCAGCCTCAACCGTCGAATCTTGACGGTTTGCACCCTTCCCTTTCAGGCTCGCAGCCTTGTCAAGATGTGCCACCACTTTTCCATAACTTGCCCTTGCCACACCATACAGTCGCCCATGAAGGTGAGGCTAGCAGTGTTTAACCCTTGATCCCTATTTGTGGGGATAATGTTCATGTCTAGGATGAAGAACTGCGGGCAATGAAACTCCAACTACAAGGGGTCATGTAGAATATGCAGCACAAGACGTCCTCCACCATCAACTCTCATTTTATCGCGTCCATCTGGGATAAAGCTCTCATTCCCAAGTTTAAAATGCCATCGATCGACACCTTCGATGATACCATCGATTTCGTCGACCACGTAGAAGCATATCAGACACTCATGATCTTACATGCCTTTCTTGACGAAATCATGTATCGTGCTTTCCCTGTCAAGTTGAAAGGGTCGACGCGCCTTTGGTTCAGTCAGCTCCCTTTAGACTCAGTCACTTCATTTCGCCAAGTCAGCAAATCCTTCTTAAGCCATTTCATTGGTGCTCAGCGACAACGGCATCCAGCCACCCAACTGCTAAACATCTGATAGACAGAAGGGGAGTCGTTACGTAGCTATGTCACATGCTTCAACACCGAAGCCCTATAAGTGGAGAAAAATGATGACAAGGTCATTCTCATAGCCTTCATAGCCGATTTACGCCTGTCTGATTTCCTCTTCTCTCTCTCCAAAACTCCCCCCAACCACCATGACCTTCCTCCTTGCCAAGGCCCAAAAATACATGAACGCAAAGACTCTCTAGCAGCTCGCCAGGACTCCACATCCAAAGCCCCGCCCTCCAAGGAAAAAAGGAAAGAGGCTGAGCCCCGACCCTCGCAACATACGTACCGACCCCTATCACACCCAGATCGGCTTGCACGCTTGGATCGACCAGCCCCAACCTATCCATTTGGTCGGTTCGAGTGGTACACCCCCTTCAATTCACCCATGGAGCAAGTTGTGAACCAAATTCAACAAGACTATAACTTGAAATGGTTTCAACCATGCAGATCTCCCTCCAATCGACGGGATCAATCCAAGTACTGTCATTTCCATCAAGACCACGCCTACAACATTGACAAATGCATCAACCTCAAAGACCAGGTCGAGGATTTGATATACCAAGAACGCCTCAGCCGATTCACAACAGCCCGTCCTCTACGGAGGCCTTGAACTGGCTCCCCCAAACCGTAACTGCCAACACACTCCCCCCCAACGACCAACACAACCCAAGCAGAATGATGACTGGCCTCAACACTTGTCCCGAGCTCACGATGACCCCCTAGGTGAAATAAGGGTTATTGCCAGCAGCCTCGCGTACGGTGGATCGTCGCGGTCGGCATAGTGAACTGAGCTCCAAAAAATTAGACAAGGATCTGACAGAGAAGTAGCTACGGTGGGCTGACCTTACCAGAAATCCACGTAATGGTCTGAGCCGGTCACCTTTACAGCGACAGATTGCAGAGGCGTTCGCTATCCTTATAACGACCCCCTGGTCATCTCTGCTCTCTTATCAAACTACAAAGTAAGGAGAGTTCTGGTCGACAACGGTAGATTCTCAGACATCATTTTCTTCAACGCCTACCGTCAACTAAAGGTCGGAGAAGAGAAGTTGTCACATGTACAAACCCCTCTGGTCTAAGGATCGTGGTTAAAATTCGTAGTTTGAAAATTTCACCAAGTTAAAATCCCCTCATTTCCCACATCCTATACTAACCTTTCACTTCCTACTAACGCATCACCTTCCCCACCAGTAGCCCCAATTACACCACGCGTACGGCCACGATTCTTTTATCACCTTATCCCTCCTCTTTCCTCTTCCTTGTTTATTCTACTTCACATCATCACGTGCTTAATCGCTCCTCGAGCCCCATGCGCCATCATTGCCTCTTCGGCCCTCCTCACGATCGATTATCCCGCTAGACCCCCTTTGCAGTCGGCCGTTCTCACGATCGATCATTCCGCTTGGCCCCCTTCGCAGTCGCCCCTCTTCATGATCGGTGATCCGATTCAGCCCCCTTTGCGGTAAGCCCTCCTCACGTTCGGTGATCTCGTTTGGTCCCCTTCGTAGTCGCCCCTCCTTACATTCGAGGATCCTGCTTGGCCTCCCTTCGCGGTCGGCCCTCCTCACGATCGGTCATCCCACTTGACCCCCTTTGCAATTGGCCCTCCTCATGTTCGGTGTCCCGATCGGCCCCCTTCGCGGTCAGCCTTTCTCACGATCGGTCATCCCGTTCGGACCTCCTTCGCGGTCAGCCCTCCTCACGATCAGTTCCTTACCTATTCCCTCAGGTGAACTAAAGCTGTACTCGAGAATAGAGGATTACTGATATCAGATAGCCCACAAGAGGGTTCGACCTACGACTAAGGACCCAGCCCATGGACTAGATGTTAAAGCCTAGTAATCTTGAGAAATCAATGATGGACCCGGACCAATAACATTCAAACGCTTGTCAAGCAGAGGTTTAGCCACATAAACATACAAAGATCCTGCAAAATTATTGCACCTGTATATCTGCAATTAATGAGACTCTCACAGTATTAAATACGATAACCTCCTCATGTCGGAATATACATACTCACCATGAACGATGCGAGTTAGAATATAGATTTTCGACCAACACGACAATCTGGAGTGGACAAGGAAATGATGAGCAAAGGATATAAAGAAGTTTCCAAGGCGCATTAGAGGTCAGGTTTTTCGTTCACTTCTTCTCTCTCTACACAGTCAATCTATCATATTCTAACTCGATCATCGAAGGCTCCGCGGGGGGATTACCTCCCCTTTTAGAACTTTTTGCAGGAACGTTCTGTGGGTTTTAAGACCAACAAAGCCGTTAGAAGTGTGGATCAGTTTGACCCATCTTCCATTGAAATTATCACATCATCAATAACATTTCTCTCATAAAACTATTAATATATCCCTCTTGAAACAAGTTACTTTTAGTTTACCTACTCTAAAATAATTTATCCTCACTAATCTTATCCACGATCACTTTTTATTGAAGCTGGATTGACCATAAAAGGAAGATCATACAGTAAATAATTTAAAAAGTATCATGTATAAAAAAGTGAGAAATAAAGATAAAAACAATAAAATAGCAATTCTCCTATAAATACAGAAATCAAACACAAAAAAATATATATAAACACACAAATTTTACAAATTTTTTAACAGAACTCACCTCTACAAAAATTACATTAATATGTATATTCATGGTAGTTAAGGCTTGGAACTTGGACGTGCTCTCCTTCCAAAGTTACATATTCGAAATTTTTTAAATGTAAATAATTTTTTAGATCAATTCATATGAGCCTTATGCCCTTAATTTAATTGGAATCTTCTCAAGTGGACAGTGAAATTGTTATCTGATTATTTGACGTAATGAATTGGATACCGATTTACTTAGGCCCCCCTCCAAAAAAAAAAAAACAAAACAAAAATCCCCATTTTTTTTTGAATTTTTTTTGTCTTTGGTGATCTTTTTTAAAATTATGTTAATTTTTTTTTTTACTTTTTCGGTCTGCCTTGTCGAGACAAATCTAAAAAGTTTTTTTTATGAAAAATTGTAGAAAAAAAATCACTATCGACGAAAATAAGCTAAAAAAGATTGTTTATTTTTGATTTTTTTTTAAAAATTATGGTAGCGTTTGGTAGAGTTTTAAAATTATAATTTGAGAATAGAGTTATATTTTGAGTTTATGAGTTTTGAAATTATGATTTAAGTGTGAAAAATTTGTTTGATTATGAGTTTTGAATTGAATTTGAAATTTTTGATGTAGCATATGATATTTGATTAAAAAACTTACAATTCATAATCAAATACACAACTCAAAATTTTATTCAAAACTCATAAAAAATTAAAAAAAAAATGAAAATATTTCTTATTTAAAATATAAAAATAACCGGTGCAACAAAAAAAAAGAAAAAAAAAAGAGCTTTGTTCCGGTCAACCGGATAGACATCTAGGAGAATGACCAGGCAAATGCCTTTTTAACCGTGGGTGTGTAATCAATTTTTAAAAATTCTAACCAAACACCACATTTAAATTAAGGGATAAAATTAACTTTTAAAATTTCCACCAAACAGAGCCTGTAATTTTTTAATTTGTCTTGTTGAGCTAAATTTAGAAATCTAAAACTTTTTAAAAGTTTTAAATTCTTTTTACTAAAGATAAAAATGAGCAAAAAAAAAAAAAATCAAAAAATATTCTCAAAACACCCCTTTAAAAAAAACAAAGAAGTGTTTTTATAAACAAGAGGCGTATTTACGGGGTACAACACACAACCAAGGTGGTCACAAGTGAATTAAGCACAATCAACTTCAAACAGTAATAAAGAATGAAAGCAATTAATAGGTTGATGTGCACAGGAGTAAGATTGTGAAGATTTTTAGCATGAAAGTGGGACCCAACCAGTCACACATTACCTTTGACCAAAACCTTCCCCAGTCCCAACTCCCAACTATGGTTAAGTAAATGGACACACGTGTGGGGATTTGTAGTCAGATAAGGGCAGAGATGAGTCCTACGGCCCTGATGGCATGTCCCCTGTTCCATTTCGTATAAGAGAAACCAAAGCGGACCAACTTGAAAGAGAATTTGCAGAGACCTCAGATTTAGAGAGAGAGAGAGAGAGGGAAACACACACCTATATATACACACACATACATATAGAGCGAGAGAGAAAAACAGAGAGAGAGAGAGAGAGAGTTTTATAAGAGAGAAAGGGTGAGAAAACATGCCTGGCAGCTTGGAGCCGTTGGACGTGGGGGTTCAGATCCCATACTACTTCAGGTGTCCGATCTCGCTCGAGCTCATGCGCGACCCTGTAACCGTGAGCACCGGTCAGACCTACGACCGAACCAGTATCGAGTCCTGGGTCGCCACCGGCAATACCACGTGTCCGGTCACCCGAGCCCCGCTTACCGACTTCACTCTGATTCCGAACCACACCCTTCGAAGGCTCATCCAGGAATGGTGCGTGGCGAACCGGTCGTTCGGCGTGGAACGCATTCCTACTCCGAAGCAACCCGCCGATCCAGCCATGGTTCGGACTCTCCTGAGTCAAGCCTCGTCGGTGTCGATTCCGAAGCATTCGCGGCTATCGGCGCTTCGACGGCTCAGAGGACTCGCTCGTGACTCGGAGAAGAATCGGTCCGTGATCTCTGCGAACAACGCGCGTGAAGTCCTCCTAGCTATCGTCTTCTCGAATACAGATTCCGACTCGTGCGAGTTGAATCACGAGGCGCTCGCGGTTCTCGCGATGTTTCCGCTTTCTGAATCGGAGTGCGCGTTCGTGTATTCTGATCCGGAGCGAATCACATACCTCGTGTCTCTTCTCTTCCATTCCTCGATTGAAGTCCGCGTTAACTCAGCTGCACTCATCGAGATCGTCCTCGCCGGAACGAGATCGCCGGAAATCCGAGCTCAAATCAGCAATGGCGATGAAATTTTCGAAGGAATAGTCGGAATCCTCAACTGTCCTCTAGCATATCCTCGAGCACTGAAAGTCGGAATCAAAGCGTTGTTCGCTTTATGCCTTGGGAAGCAACACCGCCACAAGGCGGTGGCCGCGGGAGCGGTGGAGGCGCTGATGGACAGGTTGCCGGATTTTGAGAAATGCGACGCCGAGAGAGCGCTGGCGACGGTGGAGCTCCTCTGCCGGATTCAATCCGGATGCGCAGCGTTTGCTGCACACGCGCTCACCGTGCCGCTCCTCGTGAAGATTATACTGAAGATATCGGATCGAGCGACGGAGTACGCGGCCGGAGCTCTGTTGTCGCTGTGCTCGGCGGAGGAGCAGTGCCAGAGAGAGGCGGTGGCGGCGGGCGTGTTGACTCAGTTGCTGCTGCTGGTTCAGAGCGATTGCACGGAGAGAGCGAAGAGAAAAGCGCAGATGTTGTTGAAACTGCTTCGGGATTCGTGGCCCGATGATTCCATTGCCAATTCGGATGATTTCGCTTGCAGCGACGTCGTCCCCTTTTGATTTTTTTTTTTCTTTTCTTTTCTTTGTTTTTAGGGTGGGGGGAATTCCTAATCTCGTCTCTATTTTTGTAATTTTCATGTTGGGAAAAAAAAATGAAAAAGAAAAAATTAGGTTCTAGATTGATACAGAGAGGGAGAGAGAGAGAGAGAGAATTGTATTTGTGTATGTATTTTTGTATGTACGAATTTTTGTTAAAAAAGAAGATTTTTCCGAGAAAAAGTTCTTGTTTTTTTTGTGGTCATTCATGTTTTTATTTGATATTTTGTTTTTGTGTCTTTTTGATAGTGGGGTTCGTTAGAGTTATAAATTTGTAAGTTGTGTGTGGTTAGTTTTAAAAAACCATCCCTTTTTAAATTTTATTATTTTCATTTATTTTAACTTTTCAATGGCTTTTTGTTTTTTGTTTTTGGTTTTTGATGGTTGGTTCATAAGCATGATTCTAAAAGGAAAAAGGATGTCTAATTTGTGCTGGCTTAAATAACTTCATTATTGTGGTATAAAAGAATAAAATGTATGTTTCCAATTATAAATAGTCACTTTTTCAATAAGCTTTCTATTTTAGCTTATCTCTTGGAATATTTCTATTTTATTTTACATTATAGAAATAGGAAAAAGATTGGTAGTTCGAGAAATTGGCTCGAAAAATGGCTCGAAAGAGAAGAGAGGGGAAGAGGAGGAGAGAGGGAGAAAGAGAGAGGAGAGGTCGTCGTAGCTTCCCGCCGTCGTCGCAACTCCCCTCCAGTCCTTCTTCTTCCTCCTTCGTTGCAGCCCCGCCGCAGCCTCCCTAGCTCGTCACAGCCTCACCTCTGGCCTCGCCTCCTCCTCCAGCCCGATTTTTATGATCCCCTCCTCTCCACTTCTCCTTCTTCCTCCTCTTTTCCCCTCCTCCCGATCTGCAGACCCACCCTTCTACTTCTTCTCCCTTCTTTTTCTTCTTCCTTTTGCAACAAAAACACAGGAAAAAAAAAAGACACCAAAACGATGTCGTTTTGGTGTCGAACCAAATTCGAGCCACCGAGTTTCGAGCTACGTAGCGGGGTCGATAGAAATATTACCTAACTACAAATTTTGTACAAAAATCAAATATATGATCCATATTTATTCTAAGAGTTCAGTGTAAATTACATGTTATTTTAACCAATGTGATTACCCATTAGTTAAAATTCATACATTTCATTAGAAGGCAAGTGTTTGACTCTCTTCACCTACGCCTGAATTTAACCTCATGATTTTATTTGAGATCACTCTTAATAGTTTGTATTATATGCAATTGTGATTTGTGTTGTAATTGATAATTCATTCTAATAAATAATAATAAAAAACCTACAAATTATGTTTTGAATGAATTTATTAAAAAAAAAAGAAAGTATGCAGCTCGTTTCTACCTTTACGGTAAAGACAAAGAAGATTCAACCAAAAAAAAAATAATTCAAATTCTTACCTTTGGCAAGTGAATAATAGCTAGTTAATAATACCAACAAACTTGAGCTCTCCAAAATGACTAGCTTCTTGAAGTTAAAAAAAAAATGATGGAAATATTAGAAAAACAATTTACTAGCATGTTAGATATAGAATTATATATTGTTAAATTTTTATTTAAAATTAAATGAAGTTTAATTTTAAAATATGTTTAATTATATAATAAACTAATAAATAAATTTTTATCGATTCAGATTTTAATTAGGGTTGTTCTAACGTTTACAATGATGAGTTTGTGGGATAAATGCTATCAACAGAGCCAAGCACAGGATTGCCTGAACTTTGTTGAGGCATCTAGGCATTGTCCACTAGGCCAATGTTTGGGCTGCTTTTCATAATTTTAAATTTTAAATTATATATGTATATGTTTTTTTTTTTGGTGCAAGCTTTGTGCATAATCTTTATGTGGTGGATAGAGAGAGATGTGGAAGAGACATCATATTGATGTTTCAACTTCCTTTGACTTCAGGCTGCCCAAAAATGCTGCAGTGGGGGCATCCATACCAAAGCTCTTTGTGTGTGGGGGGGAATAATGGCATGTTATAGCAAACAAAGGTAGGGCCTTATGGACCCCCACCCACCCCCAAAGTGGGAAGACAAGCACACAAATGGGTGTGAGAGAGAGAGAGAGAGATAGTGAGAGAGTCACATGGATTTATAGAGAGTGAAAATACAAATGGAATCACATGGGGTTTGGTTTTGTGTGGGGGTGGATTTTCCATTTGGTTGTAAATGGAAAATGACTAGGATAGCGAGGTCTTTTTGACTCACATGAGTTGTACCTCTATACTGATTTTGTTGTGATAAATTAATAAATATAATATAAAATTTTAAATAAAATTATATTGTTTTATGTTGTATGCTTTTTATTTATTTATTTATGTAAAGAGAAAATTAGTTTAATATTCTTTTTCTATTTTTAGTAATAAAAAAGATCCACAGTATTATTTTATAATATCTAAAGTTTCTCAATCTCACACCTATATATCACAGAGAAATTTGACTCTCTCAGATCAACTCATCAATCTCGATCTCATCATCACCGATCTCAAATCAATATATATAAGGCGGCGTAAAAGGAGGAGTAGAAGGTATCGTAGTCGGCCGGAATCATCAAATTCTCCGGTGACATTAGGACCTTGTCTATATGTATACACATTATTCGTTTGAAGGTGACCATACATTTCATTCATGATTATATTTTCTACAAAAATGAAAATAAAAATAAAATTCAAAAGTTTAGAGAAAATTAGAAACTACAACGTTGCTTAGCAATCTTGTGTTGTGTTGTGTTGTGTATTTACACATATGCATATATATAAATATGTATGAATGATTTGGAGAGAGAAAGAGAGAGAGAGAGAGGCGGCATAGAGAAGGAGTGAGATTGTTAGTGAAGCTCTGTGATGAAGATGATGAAGTGGGTCTGAGAGATGAGTAGAGACTCGCCATTGGAAATCACAGAAATTGGAAAGATCAATTCATATAAATATATATATATATATATATATCTTCGTTCGGGGGACCAGCAGGTCGTCAGGTCTTCCAAACCACCACGCCATTGGAAAATGAATGCGAAGGCAACAAGAGAAAATGAAATCACTGTGAGGATGAAAACGAGCCTCGAAGTGAAGCTCTATGATGAAGATGATGAAGTGGGTCTGAGAGATAAGTAGAGACCTACCATTGGAAATCACAAAAAATGAAATTTCTCTAGGTTGAAGAGAATTTATGTAGAAAGATTTCTCTGAAAATTTCTTTGATTTGGAGAGAATTTCTCTAGAAAGTCTAGAGAAATTCTTAGTGGGAAAACGAGCCTCGAAGTGACGCTCTGTGATGAAGATGATGACGAAGATGAAGTGGATCTAAGAGATAAGTAGAGAGACCTACCATTGGAAATAAAAAAAAAAAAAGGAATTTCTCTAAGTTAGAGAGAATTTCTTTGGAAATGTTTCTTTAGGAATTTCTCTGGTTTCGAGAGAATTTCTAAAGTAGAGACCTACCATTGGAAATCACAAAAAATGAAATTTCTCTAGGTTGAAGAGAATTTATGTAGAAAGATTTCTCTGAAAATTTCTTTGATTTGGAGAGAATTTCTCTAGAAAGTCTAGAGAAATTCTTAGTGGGAAAACGAGCCTCGAAGTGAAGCTCTGTGATGAAGATGATGACGAAGATGAAGTGGATCTAAGAGATAAGTAGAGAGACCTACCATTGGAAATAAAAAAAAAAAAAGGAATTTCTCTAAGTTAGAGAGAATTTCTTTGGAAATGTTTCTTTAGGAATTTCTCTGGTTTCGAGAGAATTTCTCTAGAAAGTCCAGAGAAATTCTCTGGATCAAATTTTTTTTGGATCAATTTGAGGAACCTTAAATATTATTAAAATATTAGATGTCCTTTATGCTATAAAATCTTAATACTAGTGACCATAAAAAAATCCCCTTATTTAAATGGTAGTATTTTAATTTCATTTTCATTTTATTTCCTAAACTCAAACCATTGAATTGTATAAATTCTTGAGATACCTTATTGTGATTAAAAAAAAAAAAAAGCATAACAAGATTATTGTAGAAAGACAATTGCAAATCTTTATCCACATGAATTGTCACATAAAATCGTTAAAAGAGCATGATGGTAAAAAAAATATAAATAAATAAATAAATAAAATTCCACTAAACACATGTTTTTTGATATTTTAAAAGTTGATAACTCAAATGCAAAAATACTTTCTCAACTTTTTTGTAATTAATTTTAGAATCTTATTAACATGGGCCCTAATAATGTAATTAATGAGTTTAAACTACCTTCACTTATATAGGAAATATGAAATGCAAATAGAAATAAGAGCTTGCTATTAACCCCTACCTTTCTTTTTAGAACCCCCATTTTATTCAATTTTTTTTTTAATTCCAATTTTGTCCCAATCAAAAATTTCACTTTTACGCTAATTCCCAATCTTCTAAACCTAATTTTCCAAACTCTAACCTAACCCTAAACACCTCCGGCAATACCACCATTTCCGACCACCTTTTACCGCCACAACCACCATCATCTCTAACCACCCCTCATCACTGCAACCTCTACCATCTCTGATTACTTCTCACCATCACAACCACTACTCCCTTCGTCGCAATCAGCCATTATCTCCATCGACAAGCAGCCACATCCCCTATTTCATATCTAAATCAGAGAAGAGAGATCAATCCATTAAACACTGCGTTAAAGAACTAAAGGGATTTGTTCAACATTGCTTTTTTGAAGATTTAGGATTTGTTCAACACTGTGTTGTCGAACATTTAGGATTTGTTTAACAATGTGTTGCTGAACCCACTTCGCCATCGTGACCTCCTTATCCATTGCAAGAGAGAGAGAGAGAGAGAGAGAGATGAAAACATAAGGTATTCAAAAGAAGATGAAGAAGAAATAGAGAAGAGGGAGAAGGAATGCAATAAATCACTCGCCATAGCCTATGATAAAGGTTTTAATGGTGACCATTGTTGATTAGTCTTTTCTCTTGTTCTGTTTTTCACTCATACTTGATTTGAATACATGAAAATGAAGAAAACAAAAAGAAAATCCAGATTAGAGAGAGAAGTGGAAGGGGGTAGGGTTTGGTTTTGGGATTACGGGTATAGTTGGTATTAAGGTGGGGGTTTAAAGAAAAAATGTAAAGGTTTCATTTTGCTGAGTGGGGGTTTAAAGAAGTGGGTGAGCCAAAGTAATTAAGTAGGGGTAAATATAGGGGTGGGCAACGG